TGACAGTGCCCTACCAAAATAAAGAAAAATTTAGAGGCGCAGAATAGTGCCGGCTTTCAGACAAAACATTTTATTCGGCTTTGCAATAATAGCATACACAGTGAACAATTTGAGACAACTTTTTTTTCAAAGATGACTCTCAGAAGAATAGCTGGATATGAAAATAGAAAGGAGAAATAATTTTATCTCATTTCGAACGCTCTTAACTCTAATAATTGATATCTGTTTTCTAAATGGAACTTGGCGACAAAAGTAAACATCACTTTAACAAAATGTCCAAAAATCGGCTCCTTTGTGACACCAAATATTCAAACCAAACAATTAACGCAAATTGTTGGTTAACAGTCGGCATAAAATCGCGTTTTAATTATTGTCGACATCACTGCTAAACATTCAACGATATTCAAGTTTTGAAGCAGCCTCTTTGTTCAGTGAAGCTAAAATAGTTCCTTTCCCCTCCTTAAACTTTGAAGTGGCACGAAAGCTCACTAGTGATCAAAATATTCTGATCTAACAGTGTAATTTTAAACCTTTGAAGGTGTCAACTAAAAAAGACCAAAAATGTCGTTCAACATTACAAACAGTACAAACTCAACCGAGCCCTCCATCGTGGAACCCGTTACGTTGATAGAATTGGAACAGTATGAAGAAACAAAAGCTCTTAACATTTTCCGTGTGACCCTCTTCTCCGTGATCATCTCGGCCAGTATAATCGGCAACTCCATGGTGTTTTATGCTGTGTGGACCATACCCTCCCGTAAGCCTCTGTCCTACCATCTCGTCGCTAACATGGCCTTCGCAGAAATTCTAAGCAGCATTTGTCTGGCCGTCATGTTTGCGAGCCGGCAGCCTACAGCAAACGCCGTTCTTAAAGAGGCCACCTGCGTTTTGATTACATTCCAAGTCATTGCTCTTCTCGTTGTGACCTACTCACTGGCTGCCATCGCTTTCTATCGTTACAGATTCATTGTAAATCCACTTCCACGTGGACCATTAGTTAAGAAGATTATAATTCTAACCATAGCTGGGCTGTGGCTGTTGTCATTTGCAATCGCCTTCCCCTTTTTCATCGGTCTCAGCTTTAGAAATGGCGGATGCATCGAGCTGCCTATCGCAAACAATGGGTACTATGCGATTATTAGATTCATCTTGAATTACGCTTTACCTTATGTGATAATGCTGGCATCTTACGGAGCAGTGGCTTGGAACTTGAGGAGGCGAATTGTGCAGATTAAAAGGAGAAATCGCGACTCATTGGTTGTTACATCCTCTTGTGTTGTGGAAACTGAACTCCAAGAGTTACGAGACGGCACGAGAATGGAGGAACGAAGAAGTGTTCTGCTCGACCAGAATAACCGGAGAGACAGTAAACCCGAAAACACAGACCTGGAGAAAGATTTGCTTAAGATGATTTTTGTGCTCATTATTATTTTTGTTGTTTGTTATTTTCCGTATCAAGCCCATTATGTGTGGGAAAGGGTTTGTAAGATCAATGCG